TGCTGTCAAGTGTGAAGAAAAGCCATAGTCAGTTTTGTATGTATTCAGCAGCCTGGAATCCCTGAAATAGGCTCACTCCCTAAGCGTCAGGAACAGGGATGCTGGCTGGCCTGGCTTTGACTCCCCCTCTCTCTCTCTCTTGAACCCGCTCAGCCTGCTGTGCACAAAGGCATCTTCCCTTGTCTGTGGAGGAATAAAAGATTGCCATGGCACCTTTAGATGAGATTTCATTTCAGACGCAATAATCTAACAAGAATGTTCCCATCCCTTAACAGCCCACCTGCAGTTTGATATTTAATCAGGAATCGGCTGTCGCGTTTATTACAGTGGGAATCCCAAGACCATTTCGCATCACGCTTCGTATGGAGGATCCCCCGCCACCCCCCCACCCTTTCTCATCCAATTTGGGTTCCTCTTTTAGCCACGCACACTCGAAATAAATGGGACAACCCCCCACGGTGCCTTAATTTAATTTAACTGTGGGTTTAAAAGCGTTGCTCAGTCCGCGCCTTAAAACATTAATCCTTTATTTTTCCTGGTAAGTTTTCCCATTTGATTATTCCTTTCCCTTGCTTTACTAGACTCATTTCTGCCAAGACGCCTGGAATTTTGATTGCATATAAAGGACTCCCATTTCAGCAGTGGGGGGGGGGGAGTACCTTCTGACTCCAAACACAGGCCACCATCGCCAACCCCCTCTGACTTCCGCCTGCAATGATGGAGCCAATTATCTTAAACCTGTTCCATGTTTTTAACATTTCGCTGGGCACATTAAAGCCTTCGTTTCATTTATTCATCCTGGCTTTTTAGAGGTGTCTTGGAGAGAAATCCATCTCCCCCACCCCCTGCTGGTGGAACCAAAGCTATGGATTAAGACCCCCTCCCTGCAAACACAGGGCATTCATTTATTTTATTATTTAGTGTGTTTGTGCTTCGTTCTTCAGCCAAAAAGACTCCCACAGTGGCTTACATATAATCAATTGAAAGTTGACAGCTCCTGTCCACAGGCATGCAATCCAGAAGACACAACACACAAGGAAAATGGGACAGGAAGGGCAGAGGAAGCAAACCTGGGTGCCCATCCTTAAATCCAGATGGATTTGAACGTAATTGTAATGTGGGGGTCACCAACACAATACTCAATCCCAATTGGTTCCCCTTAAGATTTGAGTGTAAGGTTTTGGTATGTTCCTTTAAATCTAAGGATCTGCCCCTCACCGTTCCCTACTCACCATGGGTATGCTTTTACCTCCTGCTTGGATTCTCTGTAGCCCTGTTTTGGCTATAATCCAGTTGGTGCTCACTACCTGAGGTTGCTATTAGAAGGCGTAGTAAAATGTCTTGCTAAATTATGTGGGGCACCTCTTTAGTCAGCTTAAGCTTTTCTTCATCCATTAAGGTAATTGATTAACTAGAAGGAGCAGCAGACAGAGAGAAAATAAGAGAGAGAGTTCAAGACTCCTGCACCCTTTACAGTTGCATCAGAAAACAGCATTGGGGCAGATGCAGCTTGTCACTCCTATATTTTTTTGGGGGGGGAGGGGGGAAGTAACCCCAGCCAATTGCTTTCTTTTGCAGAAGTATTGCGGGTACAGTAAACTAGCCTAGCCTTCCAACGGGCTGCAGTTAAGGAGGGGGAAGGCCGAGGTGAAAAGGGGGTGGCTGCTAGCCCTCCAGCTAAAAATTCAGTTAAATTAATTATTTCTTTAAAAAAAAAACATCCCCTTTGTTTCTTTCCCCGTGATGCACAAGGAAGTGGATCTTTCTTTGTTTGCTCAGTAGATTGGACCCCGACTGAGTCAGTAAGATATAATGGCCGATAATAAGCACCTTTTGCGAAGAGCCAGGGACCTCTCTAATAAGAAGAAAAGGCTTCGGAGGGGGCTAAGTGCTCCTTGCCCTTTCTTTGAGAAGACCACCACTTAAGCCCCCCCACCCGCCCACCCCAACCTCTTTCTCCTGTGTGTTTTAGGAGCAGAAGGTTTAATAACAAATTTCATTCCTGTACTCCTTTGGGGTAGCTGAGCTGCCCACTTTGATTAATTGACCCTGACAGCTAAAATAATTTGTAGCCTTAAAAAAAAAAAAAGCTTTATTATTATCTCCTACTGTCTCAGTAACAAGTATGAGTAAGCAGCATCTTCATGTACAGCCAGAAGGGTTGGAAGAATGGAGCGGTCCTTCCTCCTTCCCTGACTCCCTGCCCTGTCTTCCTGCCCTTCCATCCCAGCAAACATCCGTCTACAGTGCAGCTGCGGCAAACCATCCTTTTAATGGGAAAGACCGAAGGAAGCGTTAGCTTAGTGATTGGAATTAACCCAAAGTGGGGGTGTGTGTGAAGGAATACACCTGGGCCTACCGAGGTGGCTTTCCTTCTGAGCCCACCACAATATATCACTCTTTGTTCAATCAAGGAGCAGCTGGCAAAATAGATGGCTGTTTTTCTCCCCCCCCCCTCCTCCCATGGCCGTTGACCCTTTGCTTCCTTTCAGAGATTTGCTCTGATTGTCAACGTTCTGTTGCTTGCATCTCACCAGCCGCTTCTGAGTGGCTAGGATGCTCACAAACATTCCGTGGCATCACAGGCGGCTAGCCAATGGGGAGGCGTCGTGATAGACTGCTGACGGGTTGTTTTTGTTGGTTTCGATAACTAACAACTGCCACAAGATTCCTTAGCAGATGCTCAGGAGTTTGCCGATAGGATGTCTGAAAACCTCCTCCATCCTTCAAAGGGTTACGACGATGACAGTGCTTTGGAATTTCTCGACTGCAGCCCAGTTCAGACAAGCACAGAATTCCTTGTGTGCTGTTTACTTACAAGATTGTCAGTTCATTCTCTCTGGACAGGGAACCATGCCCTTTCAGATGTTTTCTCTCATGTATTCAGGCACCCAGTTAAGCATGCTGATGTAAGCATGTTCCTGGGTTATATCCCCATCCTTATCACAGCAGTGAGGAGCCAGGAAATAAGCTGATATTCAACAGTACTTGCACTACTCTATAATTTTGTACACCAGGACCAGCAGGTCAGTTTTGGCCTGTCAGGGATTCCAGTTCAGATTGAGACACTGGGCTTTGCTAAGCTATGCTCACCTGTCAGGTGATATCGCTCTCATGGGTGGGTAATGTTGCCTGAGGGCCGTTCAGTCCTCTGTGTCCACCCATCACTCCTAGGAGTCAAATTGGACAAGTGGGTGGGATTATTCACCTGTTAATCACCTGTCATCTTTGTGCTGCCCCCTTGTCAAAGTTGGCCCATGGAATGAGAGGAGATGGATGGAGGACACAGAGGAGTATGAGAATATGCAACTGGCCTGCTGTACAAAGGCAAACACTTGCATTTGTTGCCCTGCTCAAATTTGCCTCTGGCCCCGCTCACCACTGACATTTGGCCCTCAAAAGGTCGCCATGAAGGGCATGTGGCCCTTGGGTCTACACTGTTTGGCAAGATCTCTCCAGAGTTTGGGGCAGATGTCTTCCATCTGTGGATTGAACCCGGGGCCTTCTGCAGTAACCCCTTGCAGTGTGACTGTTGCGATGGTTCCCCTCAACCCTGCTGCAGCCCTGGCTTGGGGCAGAGATGCTGGAGCAAGGTACGGCTGGAGGGGATAAATAGGGTGCCGGGAGGACTGCGAAGCAACTCAGCCATATGCCATCCACTCCACATTCATATATCTTTCATGGCCTCCCCATCCAGCTGCGTCCTCGCACGCTCCCGGCCCTGCCAGGGGAGGCAGAGGCACGAGAGCCTCGCTGAACCTGCGCTGAATTATTCACCAGGCCTTGGCCCTGACAGAATGAAATAGGGAAAGGAGGGGAAGTTATCTTGCAACCGAGGGGATGGGCTCAGTCTCAGACCAACATGGGCGACAGAAGCAAAGCAGGGCGCCTGATACAGCCTCGGGCTTGGACTTGCCACTATCTCTTGGGATGCACTCAGACAAGGGTTGGAAAACTCAGACCCGGCCCTGCAGACCTCTCTCTTTGCCCCTCCTGAGTCTCCCTAGGCCACCCCCTTCCCCAAACAACACCCCCCACCCAGCCTTAATCCATGCCCCCTCCATAATGGCTTTTGCGTGGCAGGGATGTGCTTTGGGATTGTGATAACGTGTCTCTGTTAGCCGGATAGAGCATGGGAAGATAGGTGTGTGTGTACAGGAATCTCTGGTAGAGCAGAAGATCCCAGGTTCAATTCCTGGCATCTCCAGGTAGGGCTGGGAATCTTCCCTGTCTGAAACCCTGGAGAGCCACTGCCAGTCACTGTGGACAATGGGGATGATGATAATTTCATTGTTTGTACTCCACCCATCTGCCTAGGTTGCCCCAGTCACCCTGGACGGCTTCCGGCATATAAAAAAAATGATAAAACATTAAAGATTAAAAACTTCCCTCTACAGGGCTGCCTTCAGATGTCTTTTAAATATTGTATAGTTGCTTATCTCCTTGACATCTGATATGAGGACGTTCCACAGGGTGGGTGCCACTACCGAGAAGGCCCTCTGCCTGCTCATGATGGTCATGATGACAGTTTATTCATGGGGCAACTCAGTCAGAAGTGTGGCATAAAAATGAAATAACAATAACAGTAACAGCTATTTTTGATGATGATGATGTTTACCAATGAATTCCCAAGGGGGCTTCTATAGTCTTGCCTGCCTGGGGTGTGAGTAGAAACCAGTTTAGTGTGCAAAAATAATTTACACATGTTGCCCTGCCCACTTTTGCCTCTGACCTTGCCCACTACTGGCATGTGCCCCCGTCCCCCGTCCCAAGCTTTCCCATAAGGGAATGTTGACCTTGGGGTGGGAATAAAAATGTCATCTCCCTTTTCTGAATGGGAGTGTCCAGGGGCTGAACTCAGGACCTTCTGCATGCGAAGGAGATGCTTACAGCTCTTGCATCTAGAAGGCTTTAATCTGCAGGGATGGCTTCACTAGGGGATACACTGATTAGCAGGTGCTTTCCATGAATTCAGGGAGGGAGTCTCTCCCAGATCTACCTGGAGATGCCGGGGGCGGGGTCGAACCCGGGACCTTCTGCATGCCGGGCAGATGCTCTAACCGCTGAGCTACAGCTCATTTTTTTCTTGACCATTGAGCTCCAGCCCCCACAGCTTGGCAAGAGGTGCCTATGTGCCTTCAGTCCTTTTCCCAACACGTGTGTCTTCTCCCAGTGCCACTGAGATGCTTTGTCTTCTGTGCCTTCCTTGCTCTCTGAGTGACAGCTTGATAATGCACTACAAACTCTTTTAAGACTTCAGCTCCAGGAAGAAGGAGCACAAGGAGGATGGGGAGGAGGGCAGCCAGGGTGCGGCGGGGGGGGGGGGAGTGGGCTGGTTGGCTGGATGTGGGGGTGGAGAAAGGGAAGGAAATAATCATCAAGTCAATCCCTCTCTCGCTCTGCATTTTTAGACCCCCATTTTGCTTTTCTCGCCTCCCTTCCCCACCCCCTTATCTCACTGTGTGAAAATTGGGGGGGTTGTTTCCAGAAAAAGACTGTCTCTCTCTCTCTATATATATATATATATATATATATATATATATATATATATATGCTGAGAAAGAGACGATCCACAGAGCTTCATAAAAATGATAAATTGCTTTTAGATATTGGGCAGGAGCGAACGAAAGCTGCTTCTTCTTCTTCGTCTTCTTTATTTATTTGACGATATTAGTCTCTTAGCGCTGTGCATTGTTGCTGTGCATATGAGCTTAAACTCTCTCCAGGCAGCTGAAGCCAGGCGCCCAAGTATTGAAGTGTAAATGAACCGCCGGCAAGCGTGCTGTTTTTCTTTTCTTTTTCCTTTTTTTTTTTTTTATAAAAAAAAAGCATTCCTCTCCCCTTTTATGATTTCTCTTTTCCCACACATTATCTTTTTTTATTCATTTATTTTTTATTTATTTCCGTTCTCCCGCTGTTATATAGGCCAGGCCATTTCCTTAGCTGGGCGCTTTGTCCGTAGAACGCAGCTCTTTGCGTGTGGGTCTGCGATGTCCCTATACAATTCTAAATTAAAATATACATATAACTAAATCGGTAACGGAGAGAAATGCATAATAGGGTGTGTGTGCATTGTGAAGGTGGAGAGGGCACGAGGGGGGCTGTTCTTAGCACAGACAAACATGCCAGGGCATTTATGTGTTTTTGACATTTCTGCCCCAGCTCTCCATCCCCCAGGATCCACAATGCAATGGTGAGAGAGATTTGTTTGTTATTTATTGTGTTTATATCCCTGTTTTGTCCAAGGAGCCCAAGGGGCATGGCTCTCCCTCTCCCCATTTAATCCTTAAAACAACCCTGTGAAGTCTGTTAGGCCGAGAGAGGCAGTGACTGACGGCAAGGCCACACCCAGTGAGCTTCGTGGCCAAGCAGGGATCTGAACGGTATTATATATATATATATATATGAATCATAGTTAAGCAGCAATATTTTTACAAAGTTAAACAAGCAAACAAGCAAAAATCAATCCTCACACAAGCAGCAATAAATCAACAGAATTATTGAGGGCAATAATTAATTATGCCAATTCTCCTTCCTGTCTTCCTCTATTGATATCCCACCTTTACTCCAAGGAGCTCAGGATGGCATTCCTATTCTTTCCCCAGGTTATCCTGACAACAACCCTGTGAGGTAGGCTGAGAGACAAAGGCTAGCTCATGGGTAGGCAAACTAAGGTCCAGGGGCCGGATCCGGCCCAATCGCCTTCTAAATCCGGCCCACGAATGGTCTGGGAATCAGCGTGTTCTTACATGAGTAGAATGTGTCCTTTTATTTAAAATGCATCTTTGGGTTATTTGTGGGGCATAGGAATTCTTCACTTTTTTTCCCTTCAAAATATAGTCCGCCCCCCCCCCATAAGTTCTGAGGAACAGTGGACCGGCCCCCTGCTGAAAAAGTTTCTGACCCCTGGCTAGCCCAAAAGCTTCATGGCTGAGTAGGAATTTCGCTACAAATAGAGAGGGGAGGGGAAGGGAGAGAGAAAGAAGTGATTGTAAAAGGAGCGGCAAGGAGAGATGGAAGCACTTGTCAGCTTGGGGAGGTCAAGAGGGTGAAGATCGGAGGAATGGAGAAAGCTGCTTTATACCCAGTCCATCTCGCCCAATATTGTCTACATAGGCTGGCAGCACCTCTCTGGAACCTTCTGCGTGGCAAGCAGAAGGCTCTACCACTGAGTTTTGGCCTTTAATTGTAAGTCAGGTGAGGAAGGAGACAGAAATTACAGCATCACTCTGCTGAACACTTTCCACCTAATGGGTAGACAGCATGAGTGGCAGGACTGTGGGTGTCACGGCAGCGGCGCCTCTCCATTAAGCCCGCAGCTGCCTGCCAGGGGTTTGGATTGCAGCCTTAGAGCCTGTGGATCAGGAAATCCTGTCTGCATTGGAGAGGCTCAGCACAATTCATCACATCAAGAGCACAAATCATTACAAAATGTGTGATAAAGGGCTGGCTTTTTACATTTGCGAAAATGTACTATGGCTTTGTACATTTAAAGCACATCTCCCCCTTCCCAAAGAATCATGGGAACTGCAGTTCATCCCCAGAGCTACAACTCCCAGCACCCTTGACAAACTACAGTTCCCAAGATTCTTTGAGAAAGGGAGAGGCGTGATTTAAATGTTCTTTAAATGGGCGGTGTGGACGTAACAGGTGTTTGGAGGGGACCCTGGTGTCTTTAGGCCACTTCCTGCCTCCCTCCTTCTACCCAGAAGGGCCCACATTCTGCACTGAGAGGAAAAAGACTGCAGACCTACGGAAGGTGCCAGAACATCTCCATTTGCGCAACGCTTTCCAAAGCGCAATGACTGCAGCTTAAAAAAAAACAACCTGAAATTTGGTTGTAAGGATGAGTATGTGTGTGCGAGATCAAAGATGCACAGAATCATCTCAGCTAAGAGCAAGTTGCCCAAGGCTGTTGGAGGCCAAATGAGGATTTGCTACCCTGGTGTCCGAGATCTGAGGCTGATGCTTCGGAAAACGCCTCTCTTTGGAGACGACATGAAAAGTCACACGCTACACACACACACTGTGTGTGTGTGTGTGTGTGTGTGTGTGTGTGTGTGTGTACACTTCTCAGCTTCCCGTACCTGGCATTCCTCCCACCACCACCACCCACCTCCCAAATTAAAAAAGAACAGCCAAGCACCTCTCCTTCATTTGCAATTTAGATGGGGAACTGGCTGGTGCTGGCTCCTCTGATTAGCATGCGTGATAACAAGAATAGTGCATCTCTTATTAGGAAGGCGACCCACCCTCCCGCCACATTCCTAATTGCAATCTGTAATTATTGTGTGTCTATCAAGTTGGTGGTTTTGAGGCTCGAAGCCTTGAAAGTTCCCCTAGAAACTCCATATTTTAAAACAAAAATAATAATAATAAAAAAATCAAACAGAATGTTTTAAAAGAGTTTGAATTTTTGCAGCAAATGTAACAAAAATGAGATCAAAGCAAACATACAATGAACAAGCATATTTAAAAACAGAAGAGCCAAATTATTACAGTGGTACCTCAGGTTACATACGCTTCAGGTTACAGACTCCGCTAACCCAGAAATAGTGCTTCAGATTAAGAACTTTGCTTCAGGATGAGAACAGAAATCGTGCTCCGGCGGTGCGGCGGCAGCAGGAGGCCCCATTAGCTAAAGTGGTGCTTCAGGTTAAGAACAGTTTCAGGTTAAGTACGGACCTCTGGAACGAATTAAGTACTTAACCTGAGGTACCACTGTACTTAATAATAATAATAATAATAATAATAATAATATGCTGCTCATCCAACTCGGTTGCCCCAGCCACTTTTGCTCTCAACAATAAATAGTAAAAGGACAATACAACATCACACTGTGTACTCAGAAATAAAAACAGCAATTCAACAGTTTTGTTTGGAGAACTGCCAGGTATATTGGCTTGAGAGGGCCTCTGCAACCAGGGATTGATTTATGATGTGTCTGTCCTCTCTCTTTTGCCTCGCGGACTTTCAGAAACAAAACAAAGCATGATTTCTTTTTGAAAACAAAACTGTGTGAGGTACCTGCATCCTCCCAGGGGCCGTGTGCCAGCAGTGGGCGGGGCCAGGTGCAAAAGGAGGTGGGGCTAAGCTAAAGAACGTAAAGCAATGGGTGCGACACACATCTCTCTGCCGTCTTCTTCCCAGGCAAGTGTTCATGGTGGCGGGAGTGGCTTGCCAGGTTCCCAGAAGCATCTGATGGGCTACTGTGAGAACAGGATGCTGGACTAGGTGGGCCCTTGGCCTGAGACAGAAGGACTGAAGTTATCCCACAATGGGGTGTGCTGTTTCCACATATCTACTAACCTTGCTGCTGACTTTTGCTCCCAAATTGTCTGGTAACCTTCCATACGTCAGGAGGGAATTTTGCAAAATTCAGCAAAATGTGATGGGAAACCCAGATGTATGGCAACGCGATGGAAAAAGCAGCGAAAACAGTTCAAAAAGCTTAAAGTCACTATTTTCGGGGTAGGTTTTAGTGTGTGTTTTTTTTTAAAGGCTCAACAATATAGGGGTCTTTGCGGGTGTCAGGAATTTTACTTTTTGAAATATGGCAACCCTAGGTAACCTGTTCCTCAGATTCTGACACTCGCACCCAAAACAATCTGGCAACAGGCTCAACCCCTCCCCCTGCAGCCTCCCCCACACCTCTGTTTTATTTATTTATTGCGCTTATATCCCACCATTTCCTCCAGGGAGCTCAAGCTGGCATCCATGGTTCTCCCCCCCCCCCCGCTCTCTCATCTCATTCCCACAACAACCCTGAGAACTGAGAAGTAGGTTAGGCTGGGTGGCAGTGACTGGCTGGCCCAAGATCACCGTGGTGGGCATCATGGCCAAGTGGGCGATTTGCACCCCAGTCTCCCAGGTCCTCGGTCTCCCATTCTAGCATCCTGGTTGCTATGCCACTACAGCTCTCCTCCTCGCCAAACACACATTTTCTTTGCAAAACTATCTGCGATGAGTAGACTATTTTTATTAATGTTGATTTTATGGCTTTATTGAGTTGAGTCACTGGACTTTTTTGGGGGGGGTTGCTAATTGAGTTGTTCATTGATTATTGAGCGGAGGC